GTTGATCGATGCGTGTGGAATACGTCATTAGTATGCTGACGACGGCGCGAAAGTTTGAACGATGGAGCGGTGCGCGTGCATCTGCGCTAATTAATGAAATGAATTACATACATTTGACTTGCATGGAAATCACAATGCGACAATATTTTCAACAGGATAAAGGACGGAGTTAAGTGTTTTATAACAATATTAACAATTCTCTGGACTCTGGTTGTGTTCAAAATTGAAACCTAATTTTATTCAAATCAAATCTACCTTAAACGGCGTCATTGTTAATCCAGAACTTGCAATTTTACCACAAAAGCTGTGTTATATTTGGATTGCTACCCTTGACTTTAAACAGAGAAAATTTAACTACCCGCTGAATTATCGCTATGGATTAAACCTACAATACGACCGAAAATCGTCTCACGTTTTCCTCCTTATCTTGCTTGCTGGTGATGTGGCTACAAATCGTGGTCCAGTCTCAAGCCATGCTAAAACCAACTACGGCTTAAAGGTACTATATCTAAATGCACGTAGTCTAAAAGCATTTGTGGCACTTGATGAAAGCAAAACCAACGTTTGTAAGATCACATTATTTCAACAACTGGTACAATCTGGTATATATGATGTGGTTTGTGTGTGTGAAACTTGGCTAAATAATACCGTATTGGACAGTGAACTTTTGCAGGACTACTGCATCTTTCGAAAAGACAGAGTTGGACGAGTCGGAGGTGGTATTCTCGTTGCTACAAAGTTGAACATAAGAGCAACTCGCCGCTTAGATCTCGAGAAGCAGGATGCTGAATTTGTGGTGATAGAATTGATTAAACCCAACAAAAAGTCAGTCTTACTATATACCTTCTATCGTCGACCTCCTGACTCAACAACGGAACCCCTTCAACATCTTAACACATCCCTCCAAAACACCAGTGAGTCCAGTTGTTGTGTTGTAGTTGGTGATTTTAATCTCCCAGCGATAGATTGGTCTAATGACAGCACAGCTCCAATTAACAAAGGAGAACGAGCGATTGGTGATGTCTTTTGCGACCTTGTTGGGGACAACTTCCTAACCCAATTCATACAAAGTCCTACACATAAAGCTGGGAACACACTCGATCTACTTTTATGTAATTGTCCAGAAGTCATTGATGAGGTCAATATCAGAAGTCCTGAGGAATGTTATTTCCCAACACTCCAACAGATCACCAAATTATTGACTTTAGTATCAGACGTCAGATTTACAACTTCAAGGAAGCCGATTTTGAAGGTCTCAATAATACGCTGAGTCAGATAACATTTGATGTTAACACTACCAACGATATCGATAAACTTTGATCTTGCTGGAAAAAGTCGTTCCTTGACGCAGTAACTAACCACATCCCAACCAAAACAATAAAGGATACCAACTCTCTTCCTTGGGTAGATGAAGAAGTTCGTCATCTCATTCGAAAGAAATACTCAGCATTAAAAAAGTACCGCCAAAACAAGTGTGAAACGAGAAAACAAAAGCTAAGAAGCTTAAGTGACGCCGTCAAGTCGCTAGTTAAAAAGAAGCATAGGGAATATCTAAGGAAAATCGAAACATCATTTGCAACTAATCCAAAACTTTTCTGGACTTACCACAAAGCAATTTTGCATAGCAGATCAAAACAGACTTCTGACATTGTCTTCAACGGCATTACAGCAAAGTCTTCTGCAGAAAAAACCGAGCTTCTGAATTCTTACTTCTCCTCAGTATTTACAACATCCAGTACTGACATCGGGGATTGTGATGGTGAGGCGTCTGAAACTGAGTCGGGATTGGGTGAATTAACAGTTGATGTGGCTGAAGTGGAAAATTACCTCAGAAACTTAGACATCACCAAAGCGAGTGGCCCTGACAAGATACCAGCACGTCTACTAAAAGAATGTGGTCGGCAAATTGCGCCTAGTATCTGTGAATTATTTAACGTATCCTTGCGTGTTGGACGACTTCCGGTAGAGTGGAAATCAGCGAACGTGACACCAGTTCACAAGAAACATCTGAAAGAACTAGCGGAGAACTACCGACCGATATCTCTTTTGCCTATCATTGTAAAACTATTGGAACGTTGCGTATGTAGGCGACTATACGAACACGTAATTAGCGCTATCTCCTTAGGACAACACGGTTTCCTACGCAATCGATCATGCACTACACAACTGCTGCAAGTTTTACATAAGATTGGAGAAAACCTTGACAGCAATATTCAAACAGACATTGTCTACTTGGATGTTGCCAAAGCTTTTGACTCTGTCGACTACTTAACTGGTCGGACCCAAAGAGTTGTCGTTGATGGTGTTGCTTCAGGTTGGTCCTCAGTAACATCTGGTGTACCACAAGGTAGCATACTTGGTCCAATGTTGTTTGTATTATTCATCAATGATTTACCCGACATCATTCCCGAAAAATCAGAAGCTGCTTTCTACGCTGACGACACAAAAACATTCAGGAAAATTACTTGCGAAGATGATGCTCGCCAATTACAACAAACCTTGACAAACCTAGCCACCTGGAGCAATACCAACAATATGAGGTTCAACGAGTTAAAATGTAAAGTGTTGACTGTGTCGCGAAAGAAACAACCTGTGGACTTCACATACCGACTGGGCTCAACCACTCTTACTCATGTTGAAAAAGAGAAAGATCTTGGCGTTACAATGACTGGAAACCTTTCATGGGATTCTCATATCCATGAGATCACAGCTAAAGCCAACAAGCTGCTCGGTCTATTGAAGCGAACATGCCCTTTCCTGACTGACGTCAACGTTCGACGTACTTTGTACCTTTCGTTGGTAAAATCCAATCTATGTTATGCCTGTGAAGTTTGGTCCCCATACATCTGCTCACAGAAGACAAAGATAGAGCGTGTGCACTATGCAGAGACGAGCCACTAGATGGATATTGAAAGCTAGAAAGGGTGACTCCAGCTACAATGAGCGTCTCGTTGATCTGAACTTACTACCTTTGTGTTATGATAGAGAGATAAAAGATCTAATGTTCTTCTACAAGGCTCTTTATGGTATTTCCGATCTCAATGTTCATGACTATGTCTCGTTTGTAACCCATAACCACTCCCGTCTGTGTCGTAATCCCAACCTGTTGCTCAAGACTCCATTGTGTAAAACCACAACATATCAGAACTCATATTTCAACCGGATCGTGAAATTATGGAACAGTGTTTGTAAAGTAGCTCCACCAAATACATTTTCTTGTGTCAAAACATTTAAATACTACCTCTTTAATTATTATTCTATGTTAGTATCGACCGTATTCGATGTAAACTTGTTATGTACTTGGTCTATGTCACGTGACTGTTCTTGTCATAGGAGTTAATTGTCTTGTTGTATAAACTTGTTATTAGTATTTACATAGTAAACTATATCTACATGTATTCTGTTGGAAAGGTGCCTTGCATGGATAGCGCAAATTATTTACGTTCCGTTCGCACCTCTTCCATCTGGGTAATATTTGTTCTTTGCATGCATAGTATTAGTACGTCTTTTGTAAATAATTATTATATTTACCAGTATTTAAAGTGTTTAAACAAATAAACATAAACGAATAATCTCACATGTGAGATTATCACTTTTATCCGGCAGTGCTCGAAATCTCTATAAAGCACTATACTTTATATAATAAATTAAATTAAAACAATTTGTAATTTATGATATTTTTTATTGCAAATCCTCACGCATGATTACACGTGCACATAGACTATATTTATTCAGAAAGTTTTTTTCGGTTTTCAATGGTTAATTTCATACTTTCATGCAATTTAAAATAATTCTGAATTATGCTTGGTCTGACAATATGTAATATTAACGTCTTATTGACCGAGCGTGAGGTCTGCTCTGTGAAATATCAGACCGAGGATTTTTAGTATGGACCGAGCGACGAAGGAGCGAGGTCCATGCAAAAAACAGAGGTTTGATATTTCACAGTACAGACCGAACAAGCGAGGTCAATAATCGGTTTATTATATGGCTGAGCTGAGTCTGTGAGCATATGCTTTTCGCGCGAATTAAATTGGCTATCGTCAGTTTCACTGGGTAACAATATACGGTAGGCATGCATGCTCAATCAAAAACAATTTGGTTGTCTGAAATTTTTATCTGTAAAGCATCATTGGAAATTTAAAAAGCAAAATTTTTTTTTGTTTGCAAAGCAAAAATTTCCCGACAGATAAACGACATCCGGGACACCGGTCCAGATACGGAAAATACGGACCACGGTCCGGATATGGGTTTTTACGGAACCGCTTGTCAACCAATCAGAATAGAGAATTTTGAAAAGCCATATAATAAATAGTGGATATTAGACGGTTGCGATGAGATATGGATTTTATGTTCGAGTGGCAAAAACAATATCTCACGAGTGAGAGCAGCGAACGAGTGAGATATTGTTTTTGACACGAGAACATAAATCCATATCTTTTGTGCAACCGTTTAATGTTCTGTTTATTATATGGATTTATTCAGAGTGACAAAAATACACACAAAGACGACATGTTAAATAAGCACGCGAAAGACCAGTACTGTTTATTATATGGATTTATTCAGAGTGACAAAAATACACACAAAGACGACATGTTAAATAAGCACGCGAAAGACCAGTATAAAAGCGATATTTTTTAAAATTATACTGGAAACATAAAACTAGAATAAATTTTACTGTATCTCAAGATGTCTTTTAAATGTTTTCGTTTTATTTTCAACGTTGATTTCGCTTTATATATACGAACGAAAGACCATTTGTATTTTCAAAACCAACAACAATGAAAATAGCGGGAAATCTTCGAACTTCGTATGTCACTAGCAGGGGTGAAATGCGGAAAACACCATTGTCCATATAATAAAATATAATATCAGAAATTCATTTGATCAGTATACCTCAACAAAATGACGAAATTGAAAATAATTTCATTTTACAAATCATAATTCGTTATAAAAGTTACTGTATATTCTACCTAACCCCACGATGTAATGCTAATTTGCAACGGATTTCTAAGAAATTGCGCTTTGGTTGGTCTTGGTTTTGCAACATGTTCGTGGCCGTCAAGAGCAAGAGACGGACGTTTTCGGGTTTTGCTTGGAAAATGACCAATGGCCGACTGTTATATTGAACACTGCCGTCATGCTTTTTCAGCATCTCAAAAATCGATCATGCTTGTTACGTCATAGATTCAATTCATTGAAAAATCAAACTGACCGAAATATTTTGAAAAGTCATAAACATCCTGGTGAACAAAATCAACAAATGAACATAAGAAATTGATTGATGCGGTATTGTTTACTTTTATAGGTTGTCCACTACATAACGGTCGTTTGTTGAAGGTGAGCGAACAATATACAAATGACCAATGTACAAGACTATGTACATGTAATGATGAAGGCTTGGTCGCCTGCATGGCATTGTGTCCTACTCGTCCAATCAGTGTATGTAATGTTCCACTGGTCCAAAAGAAAATACGCGTTCCCACAGGCCCCCCTGATAGTAAATGTACCTGTGAACAAGTCATCTGCGTTAAAGCAGGTATGTACTCTAAATACGCTCTTGAAAACAATTCTACAATTCCCGATGTCGTGTAGAACGTTTTAAATTGTTCGAACGTTCGGCAACGTTGCTTGTCATATGATGAGAACACGAAATAAACCTGTTTGAAATATTATGGAACATCGTTCATTGTTTTCAAAATATTTAATGCAAGTGTTTGGGCTATATTCTATTATATAAGAGATGAATTGCTAGACCTCCACGTTTCTAGCTGTAACGAAAGTATTTTAAAGTATTTTTACTCATGCTTGAGCATATGAAGTGCTTACCATAAGAATTAAGGGTCGGCAAAAAGTATGCCCGACGTTGGTGAAAATTCCCGACCTTTTGAAATTGAAAAAAAAGTTGAAAATTTTCAACTTCAAAATTTGTTTCCGACGGAAAATTTGTGCCCGCTCTTCCCTTCTATTATTTTTAAGTACAGTTGCCCAACTGCCCTATTTTTAAGTACAAACTGCCCGATCCAAAATTTTTGGGGGAGCTGCAGTCTCCTACCCCACTCATCTCGTATGCATATGGTCAACAATACTTTCAGTTTAATTTTATCCAACACCGCAGCATTTCGTTCTTCTATTATTGAAAGCAAATATCGACGGAGCATTCTGTGTTATTATTATTAGAAACAACGACAGATACATCTAAAACAATCATTCCTCCTGGTGCAAGTAAGTAGAACTCTATAAACCTCTATTTCATCGCTTTACTCTCCTATTAAAGGAGCAATGGTAATCATTAGTGTAAACTGTACTAGAATTAGTAATATGATCTATTCGGCTCAAAAATGATAACAATTTCCGCACGTAATACAAAGATATACAAATTATGCAAACTTCGCAAGGCTCTATTTTCCATATTTTACAACATTTCGTAAACATATTTTGTAATTTTAATAATTTTAATAAGTTCTTTACAGGAATTTACTTTTTTGCCTAGATCAAAAATTAGTCTAACACGCAAGTTGTCTATTGATTTGGGTACGATTTAGTGGAATATATGGAAATGTTTTGTCGTCGACGTCCCCCACCTTCCCAATCGAGAACGTTTTGAGCCTGGAAAAAAGTTTGTTTTGTGGACACTAAGCTTAAATACTAATATGAGATTATTTTCATTTATCAGTCAATTATGCATTGCTTGGTTACGCCACACAATCAAACACAAGCAGAGCTGGCTATGCATATAAAGCTGTGGATGGCAACAGAAGCGGCAATTACGACGATTTCTCTTGTACTCATACACCTACTGAGGAGAATCCATTCTGGTCTGTGTCATTTGAACCCCGCTCTGTCAACGTATCAGCCGTACGAATAACAAACAGACAGGACTGTTGTCAAGACAGATTATCGGACTTCGAAATAGGTATTGGAGAATACTTTGGCGAAGAAGCTGAAAAGAGTCCAAAATGTGGCGGGTTGCATACAATAAATGGTAATTCTAAAGTTATATCATGTCCAAATATGGTTGATCGTTTCTTGACTATAAAAATACGTGGACAACACAAGTCTTCGGCACCGGTAAGTATTCATACATTCATGCTGAATACTACATATTCTACACCATGTCACCATGTACTGCTAAACAAGATTAAAAACTCATTAATAATTCCTAAGGAAAAAACAAAAGTAATCACTACCGTTTTAATCACTACCGTTTGGTTTTAATAATATATTATGACTTATGCGCACGCGTCCCGCCGCCTTGTCTCAAATTTCTGGTATAAATCCAAGCTAATTTAGCTCCGCTTCCCAAGTGATGCTAATTTTAATTTGTGCCCCTGGCATTCAATTTCAGTCGAAAGATACACAATTCTATGCATTTTAGCTACTTCTATCATCTATGAATACAGACATGTATTCTGCATTGTTCTCATGTGACTTGAATAACTTGCTCTGTTGCTTTCAAAGATTTAAACTTAGCCTGCGAACACGCTCTCAAGCTGAATTGAGAGCCGGCATCGATAACTAATGAATTTCAATATCTGCCCCGTAACGTTTGTTTTTCCAAATATGGAATGTCTATCCTTATATGGTGTTGTTTACAACTTTCGTGCAAACTAAATTTAGACTAACTAAATTTAGGAACTTTGTCCTCAGAGAGAGGAACCTAGTCCTCAGAGTCAGGAACCTTGTCCTCACATTGAAGAACCTTGTCCTCAGAATGAGGAACATTGTCCTCGGAGTGAAGAACCTTCTCCTCAGAGTGAAGATTCTTGTCCTCCCAGTGAAGAACCTTGTCCGCAGAGTGAATAACCTTGTCCTCAGAGTTTAAATAACCTTGTCCTCAGAGTGAGGAACCTTGTCCCCAGTGTCAGAAACTTTGTCCTCAAAATAAAGAACCTTGTTCTCAGTGTGAGGACCTTGTCATCAGAGTTAGGAACCCTGTTCTTAGAGTGAGAAACCTTGTCCTCAGAGTGAAGAACCTTGCCCTCAGAATGAAGAACCTTCTCCTCAAAGTGAGGAACCTTTTCCCCAGAGTGAGATACCTTGTCGTCAAAGTGAGGAACCTTGTCTTCAGTGTGAAGAATCTTCTCCTCAGAGGGAAGAACCTTGTCCTCAGAATGAAGAACAATGTCCTCCGAGTGAAGAACCGTTGTCCTCAGAGTGAGAAACATTGTCCTCAGTGTCAGTAACTTTGTCCTCAGTGTGAGGAACCTTGTCCTCAAAGTGAGTAATCTTCTCCTCAGAGTGAGGAACCTTGTTCTCAGAGTGAAGAACCTTGTCTTCAGAGTGAAGAACCTTGTCCTGAGAGTAAATAACCTTATCCTCAGAGTGAAGAACCTTGTCCTCAGAGTGAAGAACGTTGTCCTCAAAGAGAGGAACTCTCTGTCCTCAGTGTGAAGAACCTTGTCCTCTGTGTGAAGAACCTTGTCCTCACAGTGAAGAGCCTTGTCCTCAGAGTAAAGAGCTTTGTCCTCAGAGTGATTAACCTTGTTTGCAAAGTGAGGAACCTTATCCTCAGAATGAGATACCTTGTCCTCAGAGTGAAGAACCTTGCCCTCAGAATGAAGAACATTGTCCTCAAAGTGAGGAACCTTCTCCTCAGAGTGAGAAACCTTGTCCTCAGATTAAAGAACCTTGTCCTCAGAATGAAGAACCTTCTCCTCAAAGGGTGGAACCTTGACCTCAGAGTGAGAAACCTTGTCCTCAGGGTGAGTAACCTGGTCCTCAGAGTGAAGACCCTTGTCGTCAGTGTGAGTAACCTTGTCCTCAGAGTGAGAAACCTTGTTCTCAGATTGTGGAACCTTGTCTTCAGAGGGAAGAACCTTATCTCAAAGTGAAGAACCTTGTCCTCACAGTGAAAAACCTTGTCCTCAGAGTGAGGAACCTTGTCCTCAGAGTGAAGAACCTCGTCCTCAGTGGAAGAACCTTGTCCACAGAGTGAAGAACCTTCTCCTCAGAATAAAGAACCTTGTCCTCAGAGTGAAGAACCTTGTCCTCAAAGTGATGAACCTTGTCCTCAGAGTAAGAAACCTTGTCCTCAGAGTGAGGAACCTTGCCCTCAGAGTGAAGAACGTACCTTGTCCTCAATGTGAGCAACCTTCTCCTCAGGGTGCAGAACCTTGTCCTTAGTGTGAGGAACCTTGTCCTCAGAGTGAAGAACCTTGTCCTCAAAGTAAAGAACCTTGTCTTCAGAGTGAAGAACCTTGTCCTCAGGGTGAGGAACCTTGTCCTCAGAGTGAAGAACGTTTTCCTCAGAGAGAAGAACCTTGTCCTCAGAGTGAAGAACATTGTCCTCAGAAAGAAGAACCTTGTCCTCAAAGTGAGGAACCTTGTCCTTATTGTGAGAATCCTTCTCCTCTGAGTGAAGAACCTTGTACTGAGAGTGAGGAACCTTGTCCTCAGAGTGAAGACCCTTGTCCTCAGTGTGAAGAACCTTGTCCTCAGAATAAAGAACCTTCTCCTCAGAGTGAAGTACCTTGTCCTCAAATTGAGAAACTTTGTCCTCAGAGAGAGAAACCTTGTCCTCAGAGTGAGAAATCTTGTCCTCAAAGTGATGAACATTGTCCTCAGAGTGAAGAATCTTGTCCTCGAAGTAAAGAACCTTGCCCTCAGAATGAGAAACCTTGTCTTAAGAGTGAGAGACCTTGTCCTCAGAGTGAGGAACCTTGTCCTCAGAGAGAAAAACCTTGGCCTCAGCGTGAGGAAACTTGTCCTGAGAGTGAAGAACCTTGTCCTCAGAGTAAAGAACCTTGTCCTCAGAGTAAAGACCCTTGTCCTCAGAGTAAAGAACCTTGTCCTCAAAGAAAGGAACCTTGTCCTCATAGTCAGAAACCTTGTCCTGAGAGTGAGAAACCTTGTTCTCAGAGTGAGGAACCTTGTCCTCACAATTAGGAACTTTGTCCTTAGAATGAAGAACCTTGTCCTGAGTGTGTGGAACCTGATCATCAGAGTGAAGAACCTTGTCCTCAGTGTGAGGAACCTTGTCCTCAGGGTGAGGAACCTAGTCCTCAGAGTCAGGAACCTTGTCCTCGGAATGAAGAACCTTGTCCTCAGACTGAAGAACCTTGTCCACAGAGTGAAGAACCTTGTCCTCAGAATAACGAAACCTTGTCTTCAGGGTGAGGAACCTTGTGCGCAGGGTGAGGAACCTTGTCTTCAGTGTCAGGAACCTTGTCCTCAGAGTGAAGAACCTTTTCCTCAGAGAGAAGAACCTTGTCTTCAGAGTGAAGAACCTTGTCCTCAGAAAGAAGAACCTTGTCCTCAAAGTGAGGAACCTTGTCCTTATTGTGAGGAACCTTGTCCTCAGAGTGAAGAACCTTGTCCTCATAGTGAGAAACCTTGTCCTCAGGGTGAGTAACCTTGTCTTCAGAGTGAAGACCCTTGTCGTCAGTGTGAGTAACCTTGTCCTCAGAGTGTGGAACCTTGTCCTCAGAGTAAAAAACCTTCTCCTCAGAGTGAGAAACCTTGTTCTCAGATTGTGGAACCTTGTCTTCAGAGGGAAGAACCTTATCTCAAAGTGAAGAACCTTGTCCTCACAGTGACAAAACTTGTCCTCAGAGTGAGGAACCTTGTCCTCAGAGTGAAGAACCTTGTCCGCAGTGGAAGAACCTTGTCCTCAGAGTGAAGAACCTTGTCCTCAAAGTAAAGAACCTTGTCTTCAGAGTGAAGAACCTTGTCCTCAGGGTGAGGAACCTTGTCCGCGGAGTGAAGAACCGTGTCTTCAGTGTCAGGAACCTTGTCCTCAAAGTGAAGAACGTTTTCCTCAGAGAGAAGAACCTTGTCCTCAGAGTGAAGAACCTTGTCCTCAGAAAGAAGAACCTTGTCCTCAAAGTGAGGAACCTTGTCCTTATTGTGAGAATCCTTTTCCTCAGAGTGAAGAACCTTGTCCAGAGAGTGAGGAACCTTGTCCTCAGAGTGAAGACCCTTGTCCTCAGTGTGAAGAACCTTGTCCTCAGAATAAAGAACCTTCTCCTCAGAGTGAAGTACCTTGTCCTCAAATTGAGAAACTTTGTCCTCAGAGAGAGAAACCTTGTCCTCAGAGTAAGAAATCTTGTCCTTAAAGTGATGAACATTGTCCTCAGAGTGAAGAATCTTGTCCTCGAAGTAAAGAACCTTGCCCTCAGAATGAGAAACCTTGTCTTCAGAGTGAGAGATCTTGTCCTCAGAGTGAGGAACCTTGTCCTCAGAGAGAAAAACCTTGGCCTCAGCGTGAGGAAACTTGTCCTGAGAGTGAAGAACCTTGTCCTCAGAGTAAAGAACCTTGTCCTCAGAGTAAAGAACCTTGTCCTCAGAGTAAAGAACCTTGTCCTCAAGAGTGAAGAACCTTGTCCTCAGAGTAAAGAACCTTGTCCTCAGAGTAAAGACCCTTGTCCTCAGAGTAAAGAACCTTGTCCTCAAAGAAAGGAACCTTGTCCTCATAGTCAGAAACCTTGTCCTGAGAGTGAGAAACCTTGTTCTCAGAGTGAGGAACCTTGTCCTCACAATTAGGAACTTTGTCCTTAGAATGAAGAACCTTGTCCTGAGTGTGTGGAACCTGATCATCAGAGTGAAGAACCTTGTCCTCAGTGTGAGGAACCTTGTCCTCAGGGTGAGGAACCTAGTCCTCAGAGTCAGGAACCTTGTCGTCGGAATGAAGAACCTTGTCGTCAGAGTGAAGAACCTTGTCCACAGAGTGAAGAACCTTGTCCTCAGAATAATGAAACCTTGTCCGCAGGGTGAAGAACCGTGTCTTCAGTGTCAGTCTTCAGTGTCAGGAACCTTGTCCTCAGAGTGAAGAACCTTTTCCTCTGAGAGGAGAACCTTGTCCTCAGAGTGAAGAACCTTGTCCTCAGAAAGAATAACCTTGTCCTCAAAGTGAGCAACATTGTCCTTATTGTGAGGAACCTTGTCCTCAGAATGAAGAACCTTGTCCTCAGAGTGAGGAACCTTGTCCTCAGAGTGAAGACTCTTGTCCTCAGTGTGAAGAACCTTGTCCTCAGAGGGAAGAGCCTTGTTCTCAGAATAAAGAACCTTCTCCTCAGAGTGAAGAACCTTGTCCTCAAATTGAGAAACTTTGTCCTCAGAGAGAGAAACCTTGTTCTCAAAGTGATGAACCTTGTCCTCAGAGTGAGAACCTTGTCCTCAGAATGAGGAACCTTGCCCTCAGAGTGAAGAACCTTGTCCTCAGTGTGAGCAACCTTCTCCTCAGTGTGCAGACCCTTGTCCTTAGTGTGAGGAACCTTGTCCTCAGAGAGAAGAACCTTGTCCTTAGTCTGAGGAACTTTGTTCTCAGAGAGAGGAACCCAGTCCTCAGAGTCAGGAACCTTGTCCTCAGATTGAAGAACCTTTTCCTCAGAATGAGGAACATTGTCCTCGGAGTGAAGAACCTTGTCCTCAGAATGAAGAACACTGTTCTCACAGTGAAGAACCTTGTCCTCAGAGTGAATAACCTTGTCCTCAGAGTTTAAATAACCTTGTACTCAGATTGAGGAACCTTGTCCTCAGTGTCAGGAACTTTGTCCTCAGAATAAAGAACCTTGTTCTCAGTGTGAGGACCTTGTCATCAGAGTTAGGAACACTGTCCTTAGAGTGAGGAACCTTGCCCTCAGAGCGAAGAACCTTGTCCTCAGAGCTTAAATAACCTTGTCCTCAAAAATTGTGGAACTTTGTCTTCAGAGGGAAGAACCTTATCTCAAAGTGAGAACCTTGTCCTCACAGTGAAAAACATTGTTCTCAGAGTGAGGAACCTTGTCCTCAGAGCTAAGAGCCTTGTCCTCAGTGGAAGAACCTTGTCCACAGAGTGAAGAACCTTGTCCTCAGAATAAAGAACCTTGTCCTCAGAGTGAAGAACCTTGTCCTCAAATTGATGAACCTTGTCCTCAGAGTGGGAAACCTGGTCCTCAGAGTGAGGAACCTTGCCCTCAGAGTGAAGAACCTTGTCCTCAGTGTGAGCAACCTTCTCCTCAGGGTGCAGAACCTTGTGCTTAGTGTGAGGAACCTTGTCCTCAGAGTGAAGAACCTTGTCCTCAAAGTAAAGAACCTTGTCCTCAGAGTGAAGAACCTTGTCCTCAGGGTGAGGAACCTTGTCCGCAGAGTGAAGAACCGTGTCTTCAGTGTCAGGAATCTTGTCCTCGGAGTGAAGAACGTTTTTCTCAGAGAGAAGAACCTTGTCCTCATAGTGAAGAACCTTGTCCTCAGAAAGAAGAACCTTGTCCACAAAGTGAGGAACCTTGTCCTTATTGTGAGGAACCTTGTCCTCAGAGTGAAGACCCTTGTCCTCAGTGTGAAGAACCTTGTCCTCAGAGGGAAGAACCTTGTCCTCAGAATAAAGAACCTTCTCCTCAGAGTGAAGTACCTTGTCCTCAAATTGAGAAACTTTGTCCTCAGAGAGAGAAACCTTGTCCTCAGAGTGAGAAACCTTGTCCTCAGAGTGAGGAACCTTGCCCTCAGAGTGAAGTACCTTGTCCTCAGTGTGAGGAACCTTCTCCTCAGGGTGCAGAACCTTGTCCTTAGTCTGAGGAACCTTGTCCTCAGAGGGAAGAACCTTGTCCTCAAAGTGAAGAACCTTGTCCAGGAACCTTGTCCTCAGAGGGAAGAACCTTGTCCTCAAAGTGAAGAACCTTGTCCCCGGAGTAAAGAACCTTGTCCTCAGTGTGAGGAACCTTGTCCGTAGAGTGAAGAACCTTGTCCTCAGAGTGAAGATCCTTGTCCTCAAAGTGACGAACCTTGTCCATAGTGTGAGGAACCTTGTCTTCAGCGTGAAGAACCTTGTCTTCAGAGTGAAGAATGTTGTCCTCAGAGTGAAGAACCTTGTCCTCAGAGTAAAGTGTCTTGCCCTCAGAGTGAGGAACCTTGTCCTCAGAGTGAGGAATCTTTGTCCTCAGAGTGAAGAACCTTGTCCTCAGAGTGAAGAACCTTGTCCTCAGAGTGAAGGCCCTTGTCCTCAGAGTTTAAATAACCTTCTCCTCAAAGTGAGGAACCTTGTCCTCAGTGCGAGGAACCTTGTCCTCAGATTGTAGAACCTTGTCCTCAGAGTGAGGAACCTTGTCCTCAGAGTGAGAAACCTTGTCCTCAGAGTCAGGACCTTTGTCCTCAGAGTTAGGACCCTTGTGCTCGGAATGAAGAACCTTGTCCTCACAGTGAAGAACCTTCTCCTCAGAGTGAAGAACCTTGTCCTCAGTGTGAGGAACATTGTCCACAGGGTGAAAAACCTTGTCCTCAGCGTGAAGAACCTTGTCCTCCTCGTGAAGAACCTTGTCCTCATCGTGAAGAACATTGTCCTCAGGGTGAGGAACCTTGTCCGCAGGGCGAAGAACCTTGTCCTCAGAGTGACAAACCTTGTCCTCAGAGTTTAAATAACCTTGTCCTCAAAGTGAGGATCCTTGTCCTCAGATTGAATAACCTTGTCCTCAGAGTGAGAAACCTTGTCCTCAGAGTGAGGAACCTTGTCCGCAGGGTGAAGAACCTTGTCCTCAGAGTGAAGAACCTTGTCCTCGGAGTGAAGAACCTTGTCCTCAGAGTGAAGACCTTGTCCTCAAAGTGAGGAACCTTGTCCACAGGTGAGGAACCTTGTCCTCAGAGTGAAGAACCTTGTCCTCAGAGTGAAGAACCTTGTCCTCATAGTGAGGAACCTTGTCCTCAGTGTGAGGAACCTTGTCCTCAGATGTGAGGAACCTTGTCCTCATGAGGAACCTTGTCCTCAGAGTGAAGAACCTTGTCCTCAGAGTGAAGAATCTTGTCCTCAGAGTGAAGAACCTTATCCTCAGAGTGAGGAACCTTGTCCGCACAGTGAGGAACCTTTGTCCTCAGAGTGAAGAACCTTGTCCTCAGAGTGAAGAACCTTGACCTCAAAGTGAGGAACCTTGTCCACAGTGTGAGGAACCTTGTCCTCAGATTGAAGAACCTTGTCCTGAGAGATAAGAACCTTGTCCTCAGAGTGAAGAACCTTGTCCTCAGAGTGAAGAACCTTGTCCTCGGTGTGAGGAACCTTGTCCGCAGAGTGAAGAACCTTGTCCTCAGAGTGAAGAACGTTGTCCTCAGAGTTTCAATAACCTTGTCCTCAAAGTGAGGAACCTTGTCCTCACATTGAAGAACCTTGTCCTCTGAGTGAAGAACCTTGTCCTCAAAGTGAGGAACCTTGTCCGCAGAGTGAAGAACCTTATCCTCAGAGTGAAGAACCTTGTCCTCAGAGTGAAGAACCTTGACCTCAAAGTGAGGAACCTTGTCCACAGTGTGAGAAACCTTGTCTTCCGATTGAAGAACCTTGACCTCAGAGTGAAGAACCTTGTCCTCAGAGTAACGAACCTTGTCGTCAAAGTGAGGAACCTTGCCCACAGTGTGAGGAACCATGTCTTCAGGGTGAAGAAACTTGTCCTCAGAGTGAAGATCGTTGTCCTGATAGTGAACAACCTTGTCCTCATAGTGAGGAACCTTGTCCTCAAATTGAAGAACCTTGTTCTCAGAGTGAAGAACCTTGTCCTCAGAGTGAGGAACCTTGTCCGCAGAGTGAAGAACCTTGTCCTCAGAGTGAAGAACCTTGTCCTCAGAGTGAAGAACCTTGAACTCAAAGTGAGGAACCTTGTCCACAGTGTGAGAAACCTTGTCCTCAAATTGAAGAACCTTGACCTCAGATTGAAAAACCTTGTCCTCAGAGTGAAGAACCTTGTCCTCAAAGTGAGGAACCTTGCCCACAGTGTGAGGAACCATGTCCTCAGGGTGAAGAAACTTGTCCTCAGAGTGAAGATCGTTGTCCTGATAGTGAACAACCTTGTCCTCAGAGTGAGGAACCTTGTCGGCAGAGTGAAGACCCTTGTCCTCAGAGTGAAGAACCTTGTCCTCAGAGTTAAGAACCTTGTCCTCAGTGTGAGGAACGTTGTCCTCAGGGTGAAAAACCTCGTCCTCACCGTGAAGAACCTTGTCCTCAGAGAGAAGGACCTTGTCCTCATAGTGTAGAACCATGTCCTCATAGTGAGGAACCTTGTCCGCAGAGTGAAGAACCTTGTCCTCAGAGTGAAGAAAGTTGTCCTCAGAGTTTCAATAACCTTGTCCTCAAAGTGAGGAATCTGGTCCTCAGATTGAAGAACCTTGTCCTCTGAGTGAAGAACCTTGTCCTCAAAGTGAGGAACCTTGTCCGCAGAGTGAAGAACCTTGTCCTCAGAGTGAAGAACCTTGTCCTCAGAGTGAAGAACCTTGACCTCAATGTGAGCAACATTGTCCACAGTGTGAGAAACCTTGTCGTCCGATTGAAGAACCTTGACCTCAGAGTAAAGAACCTTGTCCTCAGAGTGAAGAACCTTGTCCTCAGAGTGAAGAACCATGTCCTCAGAGTGAGGAACCTTGTCCTGATAGTGAAGAACCTTGTCCTCAGAGTGAGGAACCTTGTCCGCAGAGTGAAGAACCTTGTCCTCAGAATGAAGAACTTGGTCCTCAGAGTTTAAATAACTTTGTGCTCAAAGTGAGGAAACTTGTCCTCAGATTGAAGAACCTTGTCCTCAGAGTGAGGAACCTTGTCCTCAGAGTGGTGAACCTTGTCCGCAGAGTGAAGAACTTTGTCCTCTGAGTGAAGAACCTTGTCCACAGAGTGAAGAGCTTTGTCGTCAGAGTGGAGAACCTTGTCCTCAAAGTGAGGAACCTTGTCCACAGTGTGAGAAACCTATGCCTCAGCGTGAAGAACCTTGTCCTCAGAGTGAAGGACCTTGTCCTCAGAGTTTAAAATAACCTTGTCCTCAAAGTGAGGAACCTTGTCCTCAGGGTGAAAAACTTTGTCCTCAGCGTGAAGAACTTTGTCCTCAGAGTGAAGAACATTGTCCTCTTAGTGCAGAACTTTGTCCTCAGAGAGTGGAACCTTGTCCGCAGAGTGAAGAACCTTGTCCTCAGAGTGAGCAACCTTGTCCACAGTGTGAGGAAACTTGTCCTCAGAGTGAAGAGCCTTGTTCTCTGAGTAAAGAACCTTGTCCTCAGACTGAATAAACTTGTCCTCAAATTGAGGCACCTCGTCCTCAGTGAGATAGCTTGTCGTCAGAGTCAGGAACCTCGTCTTCAGTGTGAGCAATCTTCTCCTCAGATTGAAGAACCTTGTCCTGAGAGTGAAGTACCTTGTCCTCAGAGTGAATAACCTTGTCCTCAGTGTTAAGAACTTTGTCCTCCGGGTGAAGAACCTTGTCCTCAGCGTGAAGAACCTTGTCCTCAGAGAGAAGAACCTGGTCCTCAATGTGAAGAACCATTGTCCTCAGGGTGAAAAACCTTGTCCTCGGGGTGAAGAACCTTGTCCTCAGAGTGAAGAACCTTGTCCTCAGAGTGAAGAACCTTGTCCTCAAAGTGAGGAACCTTGTCCACAGTGTGAGGAACCTTGTCCTCAGCGTGAAGAACCTTGTCTTCAGAGTTAAGGACCTTGTCCTCAGAGTTTAAATAACCTTGTCCTCAAAGTGAGGAACCTTGTCCACAGTGTGAGGAATCTTGTCCTCAGAGTGAAGAACCTTGTCCTCAGAGTAAAGTGTCTTGTCCTCAGTGTGAGGAATCTTGTCCTCAGAGTAAGGAATCTTTGTCCTCCGAGTGAAGAACCTTGTCCTCAGAGTGAAGAACCTTGTCCTCAGAGTGAAGGACCTTGTCCTCAGTGTTTAAATAACCTTGTCCTCAAAGTGAAGAACCTTGTCCTCAGTGCGAGGAACGTTGTCCTCAGATTGTAGAACCTTCTCCTCAGAATGAGGAGCCTTGTCCTCAGGGTGAGAAACCTTGTCCTCAGAGTCAGGACCCTTGTCCTCAGAGTCAGGACCGTTGTGGTCGGAATGAAGAACCTTGTCCTCAGAGTGAAGTACCTTGTCCTCAGTGTGAGGAACATTGTCCACAGGGTGAACAACCTTGTCCTCAGCGTGAAGAACCTTGTCCTCATCGGAAGAAGCTTGTCCTCATCGTGGAGAACATTGTCCTCAGGGTGAGGTACCTTGTCCGCAGGGCGAAGAACCTTGTCCTCAGAGTGAAGAACCTTATCCTCAGAGTTTCAATAACCTTGTCCTCAAAGTGAGGAACCTTGTCCTCAGATTGAAGAACCTTGTCCTCAGAGTGAGAAACCTTGTCCTCAGAGTGAGGAACCTTGTCCGCAGAGTGAAGAACCTGTCCTCAGGGTGAAGAACATTGTCCTCGGAGTGAAGAACCTTGTCCTCAGAGTGAAGACCCTTGTCCTCATAGAGAAGAACCTTGTCCTCAAAGTGAAGAACCTTTTCCTCAGTGTGAGGAACATTGTGCTCAGGGTGAAAAACCTCGTCCTCAGCGTGAAGAACCTTGTCGTCAGAGCGAAGAACCTTGTCCTCATAGTGAAGAACCTTGTCCTCAAAGTGAGGAACCTTGTCCACAGTGTGAGGAACTTTTTCTCAGATTGAAGAACCTTGTCCTCAGTGCGAGGAACCTTGTCCTCAGATTGTAGAACCTTCTCCTCAGAGTGAGGAACCTTGTCCTCAGAGTGAGAAACCTTGTCCTCAGAGTGAGGAATCTTGTCCGCAGAGTGAAGAACCTGTCCTCAGAGTGAAGAACCTTGTCCTCAGAGTGAAGAACCTTGTTTTCAGAGTGATGAACTTTGACCTCAAAGTGAGGAACCTTGTCCACAGTGTGAGAAATCTTGTCCTCAGATTGAAGAACCTAGACCTCAGAGTGAAGAACCTTGTCCTCAGAGTGAAGAACCTTGTCCTCAGAGTGAAGAACCTTGTCCTCAGAGCGAAGAACCTTGTCCTCAGAGTGAGGAACCTTTTCCTCAGAATGAAGAACATTGTCATCAGAGTGAAGAACCTTGTCCTCAGAGTGAAGAACTTTGTCTTCAGAGCGAAGAACCTTGTCCTCAGAGTGAGGAACCTTGTCCTCAGAATGAAGAACCTTGTCCTCAGAGTGAAGAACTTTGTACTCAGAGTAAAGATCCTTGTCCTCCGAGTGAAGAACCTTGTCCTCAGAGTGAAAAACTTTGTCC